GAGTGGCTTCTCCAGGTGCAAATACCATGCCAAGGAGACAGCTTCCTACCTAAAAAAAGCAACCTTTCCCCAAAAATAAATATATAACATTAAATCAAAATGTGAGGCTCTTATTGAGCTGAGACTTCATGAAAAGCACCAAACTAACCCAGTGACTACACATGCAGCCAAGTAATGTCAGCAGCCAGCACAGAGAGGCTGAGTCATTATTTTATTAACAGGCCCACAACTACTTTAATGGGGGCTTAGGCTGCAAAAACAAAAACATACATAAAAGCATTTGGAATTACTTCATAAAACACTAAATCACAATATTAACCGACTGACCTTTGCTCTACGCAGACCTGCTAATTTTAGCAATTACAGCCAACAACTTGAACATATCAAGTGGGCAACTGTTTAACAATAATGACATCTGCTTGGAAAATCCAATTATGTCTAAACATCTTTAAATCCCCACTAGGGGATACCTGCTTTCTTTTTGCAACTGTTAGTCTCTGCCTAATAGGATTTTAAACTCACAGCCTGCTGCACACGGAGGTGGCAGTGGCCCCCTCTCCCTGGACTGGCAACAGCAGGACTGCGATCATATTAAGCAGCAAGTATGAGTCTCTCCTTGGACAGTGATGGAAACAGTTTGATTTTCTGACATCCTAATCTGATAGACGGGTGCATTAGCTGGATCCCTTCACTCCTGCGTTTCCCCTGCAGATTCAACTTTTCCCCCCCACCTCTGATCTTATGTGCATTAAAGGCAACTGGTCGGTCCTAGGATGCTCCCTAAGGGGTTCCTCATGTCAGGGGCAGATGCTAGATCTAGCTGATCATGCATGCCCTAGTTACTAAGACGATCGTTGCAGTCGTTTTTATTCTTTGCTGGGTATTTAAGGCAAGATTTCCTAGAAGACACTTAATGAATCTCTACACAGCTATATTTCCGTTCCAGGCCATTTTAAGTATTATCATCTGCATAGTGCCAACAGGTCGGGGTTCTTATAGCGTGAACCTAATCTTAGCAGCCAGATCATCTTGTGGACACCTCTTCTCCAACTCAGAGACCTGTTCTCCTCCCATTCGTGATCACACAAACATCCCATGTGGCAATTACAGCCGTTATTTACATAATAAAACATAGGCATTGTTTAGGTGGTAGAGTGATAAATGTTTTGTCCCTTTTAGAAAGTTTTAATCAATATGTAGCTCTTCATTTCATCTCCCTTTCCCATCTGTTTTGCTCCCCCACTACTTAGTTCCCTCTCCCCTGCTCCGAGGTTAGCAGCTCTGGTACCGCTGGTGACTCCTGCTCCTCTATATAGGGGCAATGCCTAAAAGAAGTCATCTAGGCTGGCTGCATTTGCAGCCGTGTTTGTAGTTTCTAGGCTCATCACTGCAGAGAAAAGGCCTGTAGAAGCAGCTGGGAACAAGGAGGAAGAGCCAACACCACGAGACCAGGCAACTGTCCACAGATGTCCAATAAAGGTTCCCCAAAGACAGTGTGGGAAGCTCTGTGCTAGGCCGTTTACAGACAGTATAACAACAAGAGGCCTTATTCTGATCCCATGTACACTGCTGTAAATCTCTGAGCTCGGGGAGTTACACTGCTGTGAGATCAGAATCAGCTCCATGGCTCCTGCTCTTAATTGCCTAGCATCCCTTTGCCATCAGAGTTTGTCAGATTTTTGTGTCAAGATAGAAGAACAGAAATTCTTCTTTCTGCCTGCTTTTTTCAGATGGGGCCTGCAGCAAAATCATAATTATGTGTTTGCAGCGTCACAGTCTGACAGCATGGAGGAGATTATGATGTTACAATAATTATTGCTGCCCAATCCCAAGACTTGAGGAAAGTCTCCGTTTTCATGGCCCCATCCTATGATCTGCAGGAAATTAAATAGTTCTGATTCTGTTTTGGTCTAGTGACAAATGATGATGTAGTGTCAACCCATGATGATGCAAACACTGTGACATGGTGTCACAATGTGTTTCTTTTGCATGTCTGGATGAATACACATAGGTTGAAATCCCACATATTCCACATTATTACTATTGAGATGGCTCAGTACATGTACCTCGTACTGTGCAGTCGATGAGCTGTTGGGACAGTATACAGGAGCTCTCAGCCCCTGCTCCTGTGGGCTACGAGAGGTATGAGTGGGACATCTCATTACAAGAGGGAAGAACAAAGAGAAAAGGGTGCAATCTGTAGAAAGAGAACATACGATGGAGGTGGGTGGATGGAAGCAAGGAGACAGTTATGGAGGAGTGGAGGGATGGAGGGAGGGCAGGTGCTCTGTTCAGGAGCTCTGAACAGGAGAAAGTTAAAGATCCTATGGTGCCCTTTGACAGGCTGAAGAGGATCTCAGTGACACAGACTCCAGTGTCTCCAGCAGTGTGTGAGCTGAGTCCCGCTCGTAACCAGAACATAATGGATATAACTTGAATAGGAAAGATGCTAGATTCTCAGAGACAGAGTGGGCCTGATTCATCTCTGCTGTAACTCCACCAACTTCAGTGGAGTCACACTAGGATTGAATTTGACCCATTATTTCTCCTGACTGTTTGGGGCAGAGACTACTGTCTCAAAGAAAAGGAGTACTTGTGGCACCTTAGAGACTAACCAATTTATTTGAGCATAAGCTGTAGCTCACGAAAGCTTATGCTCAAATAAATTGGTTAGTCTCTAAGGTGCCACAAGTCCTCCTTTTCTTTTTGCAAATACAGACTAACACGGCTGTTACTCTGAATACTGTCTCAAAGGAGTCAAAGACCTGACTTCCATTTTCTAGCACCTACATGGGGAAGTTCAGTAAAAATCAGAGGCAGCTTTGCGTGTGGTGGACTGAGACAAACCCTTTTGCACCAGTTTCCAACACACTCTTCCCAGGAGGCTGTTGGGTCATTAGTCATTTCCCCTGTTCACCTTAGTTCATCTTAAAACCTTCCTTTTCTCTTTTGCCGGGATTAACATGTATCTTTATTCACCTATTATTCACCTTTGTATCGCCCTAAGAGCACTGGAGCTCATGGGGTGGAGTGTCAGCACTTCCTAAGTTTTTTTAAAAATCCTTTATTGTTTTTCTTCCAATGTCTGCATTTCCATCTCCCCTGTGCCATGGCCCAGCCCTGCCATGCAACATTACAGGAGCTCCCCTCCTTTCTAGTGTCCCTCATCTCCCCATACTCTGGTCCCTGGCTCAAATCTGCATTACAGTATAATGAGCTCCCCCGCCTTCCCATTTCACCCTGTACTCTGCTTCTTACCTCAAATCTATGCTGAAGTCTTACAGGTAGGGTCCTCTCTTTCCTTCTGCTTCACATACAGGCGTGCCCTGACTTGTCTCTTCCTACTTTGGGCACTGCTCTCATATGAATAAATAATTACCTGCATCACTCCAAGTTATCAACCTGGTATCCTCCCACTGTGTCCAGAAAAGGGCATTTTCCCAGACCCTTGTTGAATGTCTTCCAAGCAGCATCTGCCTGCTAAACTCCACACAACACCCCGACCTCTGAGGAGAAATGTTCCATACATATGATGCCTACAGACTATTTTGATCAGAGCACACTGAACACACCAAGCCAGCAGGCTGAGGTTCTAAGCAGTCAGCGATGGAGTGTCTCTGGCCTGTGTTTATATTTGCCTGAGGAGAATCCCCAGCAGTGTTTAAACAGCAGCAGGATTAGGCCCAGCAGCACCAGGTGAGTCAGCGATGAATGACATCAGTGTTACTGAAGACAAATATGCCAACATGAACATGGTAGACGTGAGGAACCCGCGTGTGGTGATAACATTTTTTTAATCTTATTTTTTATTTTATTATTCTCACTCTTGTGGTTCCTCCAGCTCCCAGAATGAACAGGGATTTTTATTGCTGGGGTTAAAAAACACAAATTTGCATTACATCCTGGCTCCTGCTGTAATACTTCAGTCTCGTTTCTCTCTCGTCCCCTCTCCAGAACAACTGATGCTATCGCAGCCTGATTTAATTTCAAAGACGGATTGTGATTTGGCAGTTGGGGGGGGATGAGGGGGGAGCCAAGCTAATCAAAAGTCACCATCTGCTGCGTTGCCATGGGGATATTCCTCCCCAATAAATGTGCTCTTTGCCAAAATCACAGATAACAGCACTATAAAGGGTGGGAGGTGGGTGGTGCGGGGGGTGGATAAAAGAAAGAAGTTCCAACACTAGGGGGGAAAACGAGAGAGAAACAAGGGAGAAATGAGAGCCAAAGACAAAGTGGGAGAGAAGGAGACAGAGAAGACAGAGAAGGAAAGGAAAAATGACAAATGGACAGAATACTGAAAAGGAGGAAGAAATAAGAGACATAGGCAGACAGGCAGCTAATGATGAAGAAATAGAGGAAGACAGAAAGACAACTGAGGAGAAGGAAAGGGGAGACACATACAGACATGCTACTGAACAGGAGAAAGACTGGAGCTGCTGCATAAGATGTAACAGCAAAACAAGTAGAGATAAGATAATTGCCCTCAAAGAGTAGGTTCTGGTGATTAGGAGACAACTGAAGCGTCAGTGAAAATTCCCAAGATGATGGTCTCAGTTCAGAAAGGTATCGCTATTCAAATTATGAAGCAAAAAATGTAAAAGCCCCCTGCTGCGACGAACAACAATGCACAGTGATGGTTGAGTTTCTGTTCCCTTAACAGATAGTCTAATCCAAAAAGTACCAACAGTCCCAAATACCACAGCAGCTTCTGGGGTAAAGTGCAGTGTTTTGCTATGCTGTAGAAATTCAGTCCAGATTGACACAGGGTTTGGTTTTTAAAATAAAAATTCCCTGAAAATGAATGTCTTCAAAACATCTTGGATAGGATGGCAAAAGAGAAGGGTCACATCATTAGCTAACTATGCTGTCTGTTTTCTATCCAGCTTTCTTATTTTTAATATGAATATTTGTTGACCACTTGGGCTATAGAATCTCAACAACAACCACCCCAGGACCTCCCTACCCCAATATAATTTTAAAAACAGCTGTTACTGTACCTGTCTCCTAGAGGGCAACAGCTTCATCACCAGATGGATTTTGGCAGTGGCTAGGGCTTTACTAGCCTGGTATATGCTGGGGCTTCAGCGCTGAGGATAAGCCAGTTGCCCAAAAGCAGCAGGATCTCCCCAAACCTGAAAGGGATAAAAGAGGTAACAGCTGTAGGTCACAGTGTGCTGAATGCCCCCTGAGCCTACTTAGACCATGCATGTGTGTGTGGAATGTCCCCTTAACCCCAATAACTAACAAAGGTATGGGAGTCATTCTGACCTCTCCCCTCTGCCCCTCAAGTAGTAACCCAGCTAAGTAGGCCACTCAGTATCCATGCTCATAGAACTGGATGAATTATTCCCAGCAGAAGCATGATTAGCTGAATTTAGACCTTTTCTTCTGTTTGAGAGTGATCCATGAATAGATTGCTGTTCCATGACTGTGTTGCTCAGAATTATTCAGAGACTGCTTTGGGTGAGCTTGTTTTGCATTTCAAAACTCCAGCTATTTTGATTGGAGGTTTAAGTCACATGATGCTGTTCCCATTCCCTGACTGGATGAGTGTAATACAATATGCCAACCCTAAACATTCAAAAATCACAAATCAGTCACCAAAATATCATGAGACTTTAAATGTATAGATAGGGTTCTTTTTCTTGGCCTTCTGATTTTGGTGCCTTTAGGGTGCACTTGAGTCACATTTTCACACTTTTCTCCACAACCATCAGGGCTAGAAACTTAGTTTAAAAAATAAATAAGTAAACAAAAGCTAAAATTCTCTCCTAATCACATGACTCCAGGAGCTAGGAGTTCAAAAATAAATATGAAATATTGTGAGACTTGCAAAAGATGGCAACACTGGCTAGAATCAGATGGAATGCTCTAGATTATGAATTCGAAACTCTCTTCCTGGGAATATTCTCCATTATTTCTGGATGAATTGTTTTTTCAACAAACATTCCTAGCTGTTAATTCATGCATTAGAACATTTGTGGAAATGAAACCCAGAAGGACACAGACACAATTGGAGTGACAATTTAAAAATTCACAGGGAAGTTAATGCATAACTTTTTTCAGTGTAGTTTTAGTGCTGGGAAAAGGCACTGGTTTATTGGAACTCTCTTGGGAGGAAGGGTCCCTGAAAGGGCCAATCCATGAGAACTAGATTGGCCAATCCCCTCAGAAAAGGGGAGGGGCCAAAAAAGAATTTCTACCCTCCAGCTAGGCTAAAGGGATATTCAGCATGCTCTATCCCAGACACGTACACCAACCAGGCCGAGAGGTGCATTCCACAACCTCACCCCAAAGACAAATTACACAAAGACTAAGAAGCCTGAGCAGTCAGTGGCAGTAGTAGGACTTCTCTGGATCACAGCAACCATTTGTTTGGGGCTGGATTCAGCTTGTATGCCATACAGACATCACTGTATGCCACTCGTCCTCAGCTTCAGACAACTGGAACTGATAACAAGTTTTGCTAAAACCCATCTTGGCCTTTAAAAGGACCACTGTATTCACAGTGAAGGTAGTTTTTCCAGACAGGGATTCTCTCAGTGAAATGCTGAGATTTCCCCCCCAAAAGTCTGGAATTATAGTCATCCCTGCTCCCCTCCCAGCACTCCTTCCCATACAGCTGACCCTGCAAATGACCACTGATCCAAGGTGCTCCTATAGGCCAGAAATACACCAGGGTGAGCTGGAAGGGAGGACTGGACCACAGGTCAGTCTGGGGGAGGTAGGGCCCCTGTTCAACACCTGGCCAGTAGAAGGACTCCATGATGTCCAGTGAACAGGAAAAGGAAGCAATATCAGAGCTTTTAAGTCTCCCAGATCAATGAGGTGGTACATGCTCCATGCAAGGTCTCTATGGTTAGGGTCCCGGAGAACTGCTCTAGGATTCGCAAAAAGAAAAGGAGTACTTGTGGCACCTTAGAGACTAACCAATTTATTTGAGCATGAGCTTTCGTGAGCTACAGCTCACTTCATCAGCTGTAGCTCACGAAAGCTCATGCTCAAATAAATTGGTTAGTCTCTAAGGTGCCACAAGTACTCCTTTTCTTTTTGCGAATACAGACTAACATGGCTGTTCCTCTGAAACCTGCTCTAGGATTGTAAACCATAGAGATACTTACATGTTCTCTAGGACTCTAACCAGATAGTCCTCAACACGCTCGCAGCCATAGAGATAGGGCTAGAGGATTGGGCAAGGTGATAGAGTGGCACTATGTAAGGGGTCACGAGCTGCATCTCTGTAACCAACAGCAGGTTGGGGACCATGCACTAGGAGGGGTCTCTATGGTCAGGGAGCTGATTGTGTAGGGACAGGGGAAAATATGAGGGAGAGGGTAGGCAGAGAAGGAGTGGACCAAAAGAAGGGGGTGTGTAAGTGAGGAAATTTGAGGTGGGAAGTGGGGAGGCAGACAGAGAGAGAAATGGGAAAACTTAAGCAGAAAAGGGAAAGCCAGCCAGCCAGCCAGCGAGAGAGAAGGATCTGAAGGACAACTTAAGAGGAAGAACCAGATAGAACAGTGTGTGGGGAGAATCTTTGGGAGAGAGAGACAAAGTGGAAAATGTTCTACAAATGAGGCAATGATTAATGATAAAATGTGCAAATTGGGGGACATTACATCATTTGCATAAATTCTTCAGATTTCTGGACCTACAATCTTAACAAGTAGCCTGTGACAAATGGCAGAGAAGGTCAGGCACAGGGAGACAGTTGAGAACGCTGAGTGTGAAAGTAAGCAGCTGGCTGGCAGCAGCAGTCTGGACACTAGGGTGACCAGATAGCAAGTGTGAAAAATCGGGACGGGCTGGGGGGTAATAGGTCTCTATATAAGAAAAAGCCCTGAATACCGGGACTGTCCCTTTAAAATCGGGACATCTGCTTACCCTACTGGACACAGAGGGAAGGCCAGGTAGAAAGCCTGAGACTGGGGCCTGAAAAAGCTGGGAACCTGAGCGGGGAAGCAGGCTGTGGCTGGCAAATGGCAGAAACAACTGCTCTGGTGGACAGCAGGAGGACAAAGCAGAGCAGTCTCCAACAAGACTGCAGATGATTGGACTGAACTCATAGTACAAGGAGAACACTACCAAATATATCTAAAAGGGAGCGGCTATCCACAACACTCATAGTGACTCCCTGCAGAGGGATTGGTTTCAGTCCTTTGAGATCTGGCCAGCTTGTGTTGTCTCAAGGAGGAAATAACCACTTGGTTATTCTCCTAGTCCAGTTCCTGGGATCAAGAAGACAACATTAGATCTATCCTTTCCATGTTTACTGCATGACAACAGTAACAGGAAGCACAGACCAGCCATCCAGCATTCTAGGTCTGTGGGAACTCAAATATTGCGGGGGTTTTGGTGTTATTCTGATTGACTTGAAATAGGGCTAATTTTAGCTCTATTGTACTGATCAAAGTTTCCAGCTAGACCTCTTGCAAATTATAGTGACTGATAGTGGCCACAAATCAGGTAAGTTAGAGGTAGGCCTGAGTGCTGTCATCTGTGCTAGCAGTTAATTATGCGTACAAAGCTGGATGCTAGGGTAAGATTCTCAAAAACAGCCTCCTTCCATTCTAGCCCAGCACAATCCTCCAAGAAAAAAATCCCAGAAGGAGCTGCACCAGCTGGAAGCTCACAGTGTGTGTTGTCTGGTTTATTGGCCTGTGGCATGAAGAATGATGCCAGGTGTACACATATAGGATTTTGTTTGTAAGAAACAAAAGGGATCTTGCAGAATCCACGAGGCTTTACTTTTTATTCTTGAAACACATGTTCACCCAATTCTCTGTTAGGGATTGTGGGTAGTGTAGACCAAGAGGCATTTCCTATTCTAAGTAGTACTGTAATTAGGGCTACCACTAGAGGGCATTCAAAATACTGCAATCTAGATTCTGATTCACTCCTGCATGGGAGAGAGGAGGCAGACACAAGTACAGAGAGCGCTTCCACCCTCACACTTCCATGTAAGAGCCTGTCACAATGGTACTGTAGTGTTGGTACTCCCCTGAGAGCCTTGAGTTTAGCATTGTTGGTGAAAAGGAAGGATCAGGGCCTTAAGCCCCTCATGGAGAATGGGGGCAGGACAGGCGCAGGAGAGACTGAGATGCTCATGGGCAGAGAGGACCTGGTGCTGGAATGGTTGGCTGACCAAGTTGGGCTGCAGCTGACGACTAAACTCAACTCTGCTATCTGCACAGCGAAGTATTGATGGGAGTTATGAGGACTAGCTCAGGCAGGAAGAATGGAGATCTGGCTTTCCTATCAGCATCTCCCCTCCTGCTTCCAACATGGGCCTTCCTTTACAGATTGGGAAACTGGGACAAAAGAGAAGTCAAGTGGTAAGTCAGTGACAGAGCTGGGAATAGAACCGAGATCGCCAGCCTCCCATGCTTTAACCACTAGGCATCACTCACACACACAGCACAATTTCCTTTCTCTCCTTCTTCTTTTCTCTTGTTGCTGCGTACTGCAACGCAGGAGGGAGGGAAGCTTGAGGTGAAGGAGGGGCAAAAACGTGGAGGCAATGAATATGAGTTAAAATAATGAAAGATTTTTTTAAACAGAACTGTGTCAGCCAGCTTCTCACTTCTTCGTCTTCTTCTTTTTCTTTTTTTCAAATTAAACAGCAAATTATACTTATCAAAGAAAAGAAGGTAAAGAGAAATCTGAAAGGCTGCGGAAAACCTTTAATTATTAGTATAGTGGCATGAAAAGCTGTTGAGCCCCTTAGAAACGTACATGACCAATTATCAAAAATATAAGAGATGCAGAAAGAAAGGTTTGTCTAATAAGTATGAATCGCAGGGCCATTTAGAACATCAGTGTTAAAGCATTAGAGTTAAATGGAAAAGTAAAAAGGGGCTGATGGTTTTAACTATTTCACAGGAGGACAAGAGGTTGATACTGATAAGACAAGCAGTATAGTGAAGTTAATTATCTGCGGCCCGTGGTGCACAAAGCTGTTTGAGCTGGTGATTAATAGAGATAAACCATTCAAACTCCACATTTGTAAGGTGAATGAAGATGGCAGAGGAACTGCGGCTGCCGCATACTAACTAATCTGATGGCGAGGGGCCCTGTTTCTTCTTAGGGCATAGTTTGGATTTATCACATTCAAATCTGCCCTCTACCCCAATAACTGAAGTGAGATTTAGGAAGTGAGGGGCAGACGGACCAAATTTCCCCAATTCAGCTGGGTGTTTGCTGAGTTGATACCTGTCAGGAAAATGTGACTTGCTAGTTCCCTAAATTAATTAAAAATACTCCAGTGTTATTGCTTTTTCAGAGAATAATGCAAAATGGGTAAGTTCTGTATGTATCATAACATACTAACTAATGTCTGTATGCACTACTGCCTCCTCTTGGCTGGAATCATCTGTGTGTCATAGGCCCAATACTGTTCACAGCTAACAGAGGATCTCCTTTAACTCGAGGCGTAGAAGGCCTGTGTTTTT